ATCGAAACTTGATTTTCTTGTAACAACCAATTATATTGTATTCGTTGGAAGAGAACTGCTTAAGAAGGGGCCGAACAAAGGAAAACTGACTGAGGTAAATCTTAGTTTTTCAGCTGCGTATCTAATAAGTCTCCTCCAGTGTGATAACTAGTCCCTTTACAATGCTTTCATTCGTTTCGATGTGAATTGTTACTGGTGCATGCTGGAGAATCGAAGCCACCATCAACTTGTTACAAAAGATTTTGTTCCCAGGCAGTCAGTTTTTCACTCTTTCTTTTCCTTATCTTCTCTCGCTTCTCTCAACGTAAAAACGAAGTTACATTTGCCCTTTCTCTATTTTCGGCTTTTCTCCGATCTAGTTGACTACGCTTTTAACTTATTGTTTTATACAGGGTGCTTCCCGAGCCCTAGATCCGGGACGCCCGCAACTTGCGGATGCTGATAACTTCCTGCCAACGACCCTCGTGAATGGCCCCCGCGCTGTAATGAAGGTGGCGAGGTAAATACCCGTTCCCAACAAATAGGTGACGGCAACCTTGGTCGGAGGCGGAGGGCACTACGCTGCATCAGCTATGCCTCCAGTACGCCAGGTGCGTGAATTGGAACAAGGTCTACCCGCGCTTCGATCCCACTTACCCCTTACGAACAAAGGCATCTGTGCAGTATAGATGGGCTCAGCTCATGAAGGGAGTGGGGTTAAAAGCCCCGTGAAGAGCATCTCTAGGAGTCGAAGATTCGGCGGCATCAGCCCAAAAAGATCGCACTGATATAAATGAGTTATTTATATTGTAAAATTCGTACTTTTTATAACCAATACATAAAAGCAATCATTCGATGGAGAATATAAATTAGCGAAACTAGTGTTCACGCAATAATTTCTCCGCGATATTGATGGAATAAATTATAAATTTGTCATTTATATTATAAAATTTGTTTTTTTTTGCAGATTTTGAAGCGACAAATTGCTTATAGTGATATAACGAGCATTGGCCTGAGTCCGTATCAGGATAATTTTCTCGTGATTAGTGTTCGTGACTCCTACACTTCCCTGCTGGAAACCCCATTGAAAACGGAGCTGGTGGTTGCAGTCAAGTAAATTTTCCATTCATACAGCATTTATGAGAATTGCGAAAAATGGTCGCAAATGGATTGCTGATTTTAGCAAGCGTTATCGTGAAGTGACAAAAGGCGCGATTCTGCCGCTAGTGTTCAGCACCACCTACCAAATTATTTTAAAGAAAACTCGCTTTGGTGGAGGAACACGAAGTGTTGCATTTTCGAGGGACGATTCTGGATCCGATGTCACGCAGCTCCTTGCAAAAGACAAGACCTTAACGGTGTCCGTTGGACCTGGATTGCCCAACTGCACAAGTATATGTTTTTGCTGTAATGTTTTTCGGGGAGCAGAATAGCAGTAATGCAACAAGCCTTGTACATAAAAAAAGCTTGTTTCATTTCAAACAAGGTGGCACTTTGCTTTCTTTCTTTTGTTTTTTTTAAGCACTATATTTTTTGTTTTTTTCGTCCTTCAGTTTCCCATCCAACTTTATTTCTTATTCCGATTAGTATTTTGCAGTACAGCACTTCTCGGTTCTACCGCTTTTTTGTCTAATTTTGAGCACCTTAGGAAATTTTTACGTGTTTTGATAAAATCTTTTCTTTCTATGCCGAATTCTCACATCACTGATTAGTTCCCTGAATAATTCCTCACACCTTTAATTATGAAATTTTACATGGTTGCAAAGGTGGGCGGCTTGAAATAAAACTCAAGTGTTTTGTGACCTACGCGTTCCCGTCTAGGTAGAGGTTGGTATTAAAACTTCAGGTTAAAGCAAACGGAGCCAGATTTTAAGATTCTATGACACAATTTTATTAGAAATAAACCTTGGCAAAGTGCCTCACTAGCTTGCTCACTTATAATATGTAAATTTAAGGAAAACATTATTC